TAGCCGGTTGAGCCATAGGCGCCGAGCCGGGGTAGGTCTTATTTTCAGGGAAACACGGTAGCACTCTGGGAGGGTTAGATGGAAGGATCACTTGAGGTTAGGAGTTTGAGACCAATCTGAGCAAAGGTAAAACCCATCACTACTGAAATAGTGGTGATAGGTATAGTCCCAGCTACATGGGAGGCAACACCAGGAGGATCACTTGAGCCTAGGAATTTGAAGTTGTAGTGAGCTGTGATGATACCACTGCTTTGTAGCTAGGGTGACAGAGCAAGACTTGGATCTCAAAAATAAGTTAAAAGGCCAGGCATGTTGGCTCATGCCTGTAATCCTAATACTCTGGGAGGTTTAGGTGGGTGGATATTTGAGCTCAGAAGTTCAAGACCAGCCTGAGCAAGAGTGAGATCCTGTCTCTACTAAAAATGAAACACTGAGGCAAAAGCAGCACTGGAAACCAAGAGCTTGAGGTTGCTATGAGCTATGATGATTTGGCACTCTACTGAGGGCGACTAAGTTAGACTCTATTTAAAAAAAAAAAAAAAGGCTTGGTGCCTGTGGCTCAAGTAGCTAAGGTGCCAGTCACATACACTTGAGCTGGGGGGTTTGAATCCAGCCTAGGCCCGCCAAACAATCACGGCTGCAATCAAAAAAATACCTGGGTATTGTGGCAGGCACCTGTAGTCCCAGCTACTTGGGAGGCAGAGGCAGGAGAATTGCTTGAGCCCAGGAGTTGGAGGTTGCTGTGAACTGTGATGGCACAGCACTCTACCCAGGGTGACAGACAGCTTGAGGCTCTGTCTCAAAAAAAAAAAAAAAAGTTGACTGAGCATGGTGGCTTACACCTATAATCCTAGCACTCTGGGAGGCTGAGGTGGGTGGATAGCTTGAGCTAATGAGTTTGAGACCAGACTGAGCAAAAATTGAGACCCCCACCCCACCCCCAAGAGGTTAATGTAACTCCATTTTAGAACTAAGGCCTATTAAAAAAACAAAACAAAACAAAACAAAACAAAACAAAACTCTTGTGGGCAAGGTTGCCCAGGTGGAACCAGTCTATCAGAAAGGGATAGGTGTCCCTCCTCTGCACTTCTGGGCAAAGTCAATCAGCCCAGAAGGAGCCAGTCTATCAGAAGCAGATAAGCAACCCCCCTCTATAAAGTCCCTAACTGTAAACAGCTCAGCCAATAGCAACCCATCCCGACAAAACACCCGATGAAATTCCTCTATATGCTTTAAAAACCTCCCCTCGCTTTAGGGTCGCCCCTTCACAGCCACACTGTAGAGTGGGGTGACCCAGGCATTTGCTTGAATAAAGGCACTCTTTTGCTTTCACATGTGTATGGTGAACTCTCAGTGGCGATTTCAGTCCCAACAGCCCCCTGCCCGCAGTCTCTACTAAACATAGAAAAAAAATAACTGAGGCAAGAGGACTGCTATGAGCTATGATGCCACAACACTCTACCCAGGGGAACAGCTTGAGACTGTCTCAAAAAAAAAAAGTTATGGATATGACTTTTATGGATATTAATATTTGTAATATTAATCTATTCATCTCTTTCCTGCCAGATTTTACCCTCTCCTCTGCCCCATGTTGAAAAACTGGCTTTTTCTGTTTCTTCCTGCTGTATACTCTTTTAACCTTACACTAAGTATGTCTAGTACAGGGAAGGGGGTGAGGAAGAAGAAAAGGAAAGTGGATGGTCTCTTTTAACACCTTAATTTTAAAGTTCTTCTAAGAATATAGCAGGGGGAAGGCTGAGGAACTTAGGCATATTGGCAAGTCAGACTGAGATCAGCAACTTTTAATTTTATGTGTTTAATTCAATATCAAAAACAAAGGAAACATTCATTGTGCAAGGAGTACTATATTCCAGCCCTATCTCAATTGCAGGAACCAGGCTCAATCTGGTGTCTAGGGGATGCTCAGAGAAGACAGAGGCATCTGGTACCTTCTGACCCATCATGTCATAAAGCCCCCATTTGGTGCTGGACCCACCTCCAAGAGAAGGCCAACGTTTTCTGTATTTCACTCACTCCTCTCATTTGTCAAGGGGCTCTAATTACCAAAGAAATGGTTCCTAGAAGAGAAATGAATCTTCAGAGAGATGCTGGGATATACCAATACAATTGGGAGATGCAAAGACTGACAGCAGGGGATCCACCACTGTGGCTGAAATTTCTTGACCCTAAATGCATGAGAAAGTTCAGGACTCTACTGTTTCTGTCCAGTAACAAGAGTTTCTGTGTCCTGTATGACTCTTCCAAGTCTAACTGCAATTTACCATCTTCTGGCTCTTTAGTCACTCTCATCTTCGTCCTCAATCTGAAACCGTTTCTTCTTTTGGAGTCCTGGAGCTCTCAACTCCGGTGCTATAGGAATGGTAGGCGTGAGGGGAAGAGAGAATATCTTATTATGCTATGGGGTAAGAAGGGTGGTAGGGTTTGTAGGGATTAAAGAGAAGAGAGACAGAGATTAAAAGAAAAAAAAAGAAAGTTCCCATCAGACTCCCCACCTCCATTCTTGCCCTCATCTTCCTCCTGCTCCTCATCACTGTCCAGCAGTTGTCGCTTCTTGGGTGCTGCTGTCAGCTGCTCTTTCCTACTAGGAGTTTCCTCCTCTACAATGAACATAAGATACACAAAATTAGGGGGTCCTTATATTCTCAAAATACCCTATCAGGCCTCCAGACCAACATGGCTGGTCCATGGCAGGTACTTGGTAGACGAGCAGTCACATTGTTACCTTTGGAGGATGCCAGGCCCGCTTTCTTTTTGCGGGCTAACCAGAGAGCCTTCAAGGCTTGTGCTCGGTGCCCTTCCCCATGCTCCTCACTGGGGCCTTGCTCTCCAGGGGTTTTAGGTTCTAGCTCTGGCTGCAGCTCTTTCTCCTCCTCTGGCTGACTCAATGAAGCCGCCATCCGCCGGAGGTGGCAGGGATTCAGCTTGGCTGGAATTCGCCAGAAAGTTTCCTACAGGGGAAAAGAAGTTGAAAATGACAGCAAAGGGAAAGGACCAGCTTCTTGCTCACTAGATTTTGATATTCATTAAATAGGATTCAACACTGGTGAAGATCCACAAGGGTTGTGAACTCTACCTATTACTTATTTATCCAAAATATATCCAGTGTATTCTGGGAGGCTGAGGGAGTGAATTGCTTGAGCTCAGGAGTTAGAGAAAAGCCTGAGCAAGAGCGAGACACCATCACTTATAAAAATAGCAGGGTGCTTGGGCAGCACCTATGGCTCAGTGGGTAGGGCACCAGCCCCATGTGCCAAGGGTGGTGGGTTCAAACCCGGCCCCAGCCAAACTGCAACAAAAAAATAGCCAGGCGTTGTGGCAGGCACCTGTAGTCCCAGCTACTCGGGAGCTGAGGCAAGAGAATTGCCTATGCCTAGGAGTTGGAGGTTGCTGTGAGTTGTGATGCCACAGCACTCTACCGAGGGTGATAAAGTGAGACTCTGTCTCTTAAAAAAAAAAAAAGAGCCTGTAGTCCCAGCTACTTGGGAGGCTGAGGCATGAGGATCTCTTGAGACCAAGAATTTGAAGTTGTTGTGAGTTGTGATACCATGGCACTCTACCCAGGGCGAAAGAGTTAATCTTTGTCTCAAAAAGAAAAAACAAATACAAGGCCGGGCATAGAGGATTATGCCTGTAATCCCAGCACTTGGGAGGCTGAGGTGGGTGGACTGCCTGAGCTCACAGGTTCAACACCAGCCTATGCCAGAGTGAGACCTCATCTCATAAAAAAAATAGCTGGGTGTTGTGGTGGGCGCCTGTATTCCCAGCTACTCAGGAGGCTGAGGCAAGAGAATCACTTGAGCCCAAGAGTTTGAGGTTGCTGTGAGCTATGATGTCACAGCACTCTACCAAGGGCGACAAAGTGAGACTCTGTTGCCCACTCCCCCCAAAAAAACAAAAACAAAAAACTATATTTTAGAAAGATAAATCTAGGGGCAGTCTGAAGAATGGATTCAGAGGAAGGAAAGATTGGAAAGGAAGAGAGGAAGACTAGCAGAATAGCCTCCACAGGAGTTGGATCAGAGACAACAGATGTGGCAATGAGGAGGGTGGAAACTACAATAAGGAAGACCAATGGCAACAAGGACCGAGAAGGCAACAGAAGGACTGGGTTGGCAACTGCACTGAGCAGGAGGAGATGTATTCAGGACCAAAGTGGATCCTGAATACATAGATATATACAAATATAATTGGGTCTATACCTGCTCAGAGGCAGGGGGCCGAACCCCTAGCTTGTACAACAGCAGCTGAAACTGTTTGTTTTCCATTGCTTCCTCATTTTCCTCTGTCAGCGGCACCAGTGGAACTGCCTGAGAGCAGCCTAGGACAGGGTCAATAGCCACACGGTGAAGTTGTGAAGACAGAATTGGTCCTCCATCCCTTGACCAGCTTCCAATGGCCTCCAATATTCCAATCCTCCTAAAATCATCAACTGTCCACTCACCATCCTCTTCCCGATCATTTGCTGCTCGAAACAGGCAATTCTGGAGCCACAGGAGAGGAGCAGAAAAGCCTAAGAGAAGTAGAAACTTATAATTCGTCCCTGCTCCTACCTCCTCCTGAGATTCCTCTCCCAAACAAAGTCCTCACCTTCCTGATGCAAGCTTTGACCAAGGTTCTTAGTCGAAAATTCAGGTGCGCCAAAATGACTTCCACTACCTTGGACTTGTTCTGCTTCCGAGCCCTCCCATTTCTCTTCATCCTCTTCACTCTCTTCCTCTGGCAGGTTTTCCTCTTCTAGATCATCTTGGAAAAAATCTTTCAGGGACTCCTCTCCACTGGGCTAAAATTCATTGTAGGTGGGGGTGGGGGGAGAATGAAAAATGAGGCAACATGAAAAACTTAAAGAATATTCTGGTTCCTGGCTCGGCACCTATAGCTCAACCGGCTAAGGCGCCAGCCATGTACACCTAAGGTGGCGGGTTCGAATCCCCAGCCCGGACCCGCCAAACAACGACGGCTGCAACCAAAAAATAGCCGGGCGTTGTGGCGGGTGCCTGTGGTCCCAGCTACTTGGGAGGCGGAGGCAGGAGACTCGCTTGAGCCTAGGAGTTGGAGGTTGCTGTGAGCTGTGAAGCCACGGCACTCTACCCAGGGGGACAGCTTGAGGCTCTGTCTCAAAAAAAAAATATTCTGGTTCCTGAACACCCCACTGGAAGGACCTCGTCTGAATAGCGTTAGGCAGGAAGGATACTCCTAAGGGGTACTCCTAAGGAACACATCAAAGGGAGTGGGCTCGAGCTAGCAGAGCCAGGCTAAATTGTTACCAAGCTGGAAGGTGCCAACTTCTTCTGCCGTTTCTTGTAGAGCTCCCGCCGCTCAGACACTAGTCCCAGAGCCAGTAGTTTATCCACTATTCGGGCCCGTGAGCGTTTGGCTGTGATAGTCTTCATGATGTTGCCCAGGACATCTATAGAGGAGTGTGTGAATATCCAAGAGCAACAGGAGAAAGGGATTAGTAAAAGAAATGAGTGGTCTCTGCAAAGAGGCTAGCGTAATTCATCCCCAAATGAACAAATATATTAAGCGGAATGGGATTATCTTTCCTGGGAATAAGAGGCAGAGGAAAAGAAACCAACAGTTTAGTGCTCATCTGAGAGGACCCCTGAGCTTCTAATTCACTTACCATCTGAGGCCTGGAACTCCTCAAAAAGCCTCTGCAGCTCGAGCTCCTGATCTTCTGTCCACAGTACAATATGGGTTCCTTTCCTGTTTAGGAAGGTGTCAGTGGAAGAGGCACCTGAGGGAGTGAACAGAGATTCTACTTCCCTATCCCCTCCAGAGCATGCAATTCTCTACCTTTTGAAGTCTTTGACGCTGTCAGCAAGTCCCAGATGTACCAGATGGTGGATGACCTGCTTGCGGGTTCGAGAAGCAGAATTTAGGTGTGCCAAGATGACTTCCACCACATCCTGACCTGCAGTAGAGAAGTGAGGCAGTAAAGAGGGGCCCTGGGGCTCAGGCTGCCTTGCTCATAAACTCTTGAGATTTTAAGACCTCACACCTTCCACATCCTTATGGGTGAGATACAGTTCCCGAAGACGAGTCTCCTCCTCTGGGCTCCAGGTAGGGGCTCTGCGACTGGCAGGCCTGAATGAGAAAGGAGAAGGTAAGCATCTGGTTGTCAGCCCAAAAAGAAAAGACATAAGGCCCTTGTTGATCAGTTCTGAAAGGAACAGGGCAAAACAGGTAATTCAAAGGAGCCAGCTAGTAGAGGCCTATGGAGTGCTTCCTTCTTCTTATTCCCTTTCTTCCACTTAAGAATGTAAAAGTCAGCCGGGTGAGATGGCTCACGCTTGTAACCCCAGCAGTCTGGGAGTCTGAGGCGGGTGGATCACCTGAGCTCATGAGTTCAAGACTAGCTCTGAGCCACAGCAAGACCTCATGTCTAAAAATAGACAGGTTGTGTGGAGGGCGCCTATAGTCTCAGCTACTTGAGAGGCTGAGGCAAGAGAATCACTTGAGCCCAGGAGTTTGAATGTGCTGTGAGCTATGATGCTACAATACTCTACTGAGGGTGACAAAGTGAGATGGTCTCAAAAAAAAAAAAAAAAAAAATGCAAAAGTCAAACTAAGAGAATTTCTAGGTTGAACCTATAGAACCTGACACTCCAGGGACTGAAAGTATTATGGCAAAAAGAGAAGTGTGAAAGGAGAGAAGCTGAGATACTGAAGGAAAGAGGACAAACATTTCCACAAATCCTAAGTGTCCTAGTACATCATGGGAGAGGCCACCCCACTCCCAATAGTAAACACCTCCATGAAGGCTGGTGAAGGAAAAGGGAACTGGGATAGGACTTAGGGTCCAGTCCCTGTTCTTCTCTTAGATAACCTTAGGTAAAGCATTTCACTTCCTGGACCTGTTTTCTTACCTATAATAGGGAAAGAAAAAGTAGACTAAATGATCTGCAGGCTCTTACAGCTTTGATACCCTGCAACTCTGCACCACCCCCACTACTCATTCCTTGTCCCATCCCCAAGCTCACCCTCCATCCAGGGAGCCATAGCCCTCAGTCATCTCTCGAACCACTGCAGTGTTCTTCCAGAACAGCAACTCCACAAAGGCTTTTGGGTTGACTGTGGCCAGTGCAAAGAACTTGCCCAGGATGTACTTGGCAAAAGTCACTAGCTCCTATAGGAGAGGGAAGCTGTTATGAGGACTCTGGCCCAATGTATACATAAACCTTGCACTCTAGGTATTTTCTCTGTTCCTGCCCCAGCTGCATCATCCTCACTCAGGCTCTCTTTTCTTTTTTTTTTTTTTTTGAGACAGAGCCTCAAGCTGTCCCCCTGGGCAGCGTGCCATGGCATTACAGCTCACAGCAACCTCCAACTCCTGGGCTCAAGCGAGTCTCCTGCCTCCGCCTCCCAAGTAGCTGGGACCACAGGCGCCCGCCACAACGCCCGGCCATTTTTTGGTTGCAGCCGTCATTGTTGTTTGGCGGGTCCGGGCTGGGGACTCGAACCCGCCACCTCAGGTGTACGTGGCTGGCGCCCTAGCCGGTTGAGCTATAGGCGCCGAGCCCAGGCTCTCTTTTCTCCTTCCCCATGCAGCCTCCTCAGTGTGACTGCCCACCTCCTTACCACTTCCTCATCTGCTTAGCCCTACACAGCTCTAGCATCCTTTATGTCCTAAGGACTGTTCACTGTCATATCCTTCCAGCCCCCATTCCTTGGTATCCCCTCACTTTGTAGGCTCCAGCAGCAGGGTCACTAAATAGTCTATTGAAAAGGCAGAAAACTGAGAGCTGAAAAAGTAAGGCTTCCATTCTGAGGTCATGGGCCAGCCGGTGCAGCATCTTGACAATGCAGTGGTTAGTGTGAGCGCTATTCCGCCGGTAGCTCCGCAGCAGCAGTATGTAGGCTCGGACCACTGTTGAGCACGCAAAACTGCATCACAACAGGGAGAGGGAGTCAGCCTGAGACAGACACTGTGCATCCTCATGGCAGCACAGCCACCACCTTACCACCAACTTAGTCTTAGCTCATACCGTTTCAGGTAGTCCAGAAAATTAAATTCTTTCTCTGACACCTGGACCACTTGCAACTCCTCCTCTTCCTCCTCCTCTTCCTCTTCTTCCTCTGCTCCTCTTTCCTCTGGCCCCTTCTGCCCTATTGACAGAGTGAGGATTACCTGGTGCTGGAGGAGAGCTGGAAGGAGACAGAGGTGAAGCAGTGGATACTCACGGGGAAGTGGGGCAGAGAGGATCTGTCTCAGCAACTGGACCTCTTCTTCTGGGGAAATGTCTTGAGAACCAAACACATCTCTTTCCGGCCATATCTCCCTGGAGCATAAGAGAAAAAAAAGCTTTATTTTCTTCTGAGACAAGAGTCTCACTTTGTTGCCCCTAGTAAAGTGCTGTGATGTCATAGCTCACAGCAACTTCAAACTCTTGGGCTCAAGTGATTCTCTTGCCTCAGCCTCCCAAGTAGCTGGGACTATAAGCACCTGCCATGAAGCCTGGCTATTTTTAGAGATGAGGTCTCACTCTAGCTCAGAGCTGGTCTTGAACTCATGAGCTCAGGCAATCTTCCCACCTCAGCTTCCCAAGTGCTGGGATTACAGGTGTGAGCTACCACCACCCTGACCAGAATAAAGGGCTTTAACCAGAAAAATCTGACTTATAATTTTTTTTTTTTTTTTTTTGAGACAGAGTCTTACTTGGTTACCCTTGTTAGAGTGCTGTGGCATCACAGATCACACCAACCTCAAACTCTTGGACTTAAGCAATTCTCCTGCGTCAGCCTCCCAAATAGCTGGGACTACAGGCGCCCACCGCAACACCCAACTATTTCTTTTGTTGTTGTTGCTGCAATTGTCATCATTGTTTAGCAGGCCTGGGCTGGGTTCGAACCCTCCTGCCTTGATGTATGTGGCTGGCGCCCTCACCACTGAGCTATGGGTGCTGAAACCTGACTTATAATTTGAAGTGGAAGAAGGAATTTGGATTTATTTTACTTGTCAGCTAGAAACAGAATGCAAACTGTTACTTCAGAGATAAGACAAATACTGTAGGAATAATTTTCCTTGTAAACCATAATGCAGTAAAAATCTGCTAAGAGGTTAGGTGCAATGGTGCACACCTGTAATCCTAGCCCTTTAAGAAGCCAAGGTGGGGGCTCAGCGCCTGTGGTTTAAGCAGCTAAAGCACCAGCCATATACACCTGAGCTGGCGGGCTCGAATCCAGCAGGGGCCTGCCAAACAACAATGGCTACAACCAAAAAAATAGCTGGGTGTTTTGGCAGGTACCTGTAGTCCCAACTGCTTGGGAGGCAGAGGCAGGAGAATAGCTTGAGCTCAGTAGTTGGAGATTGCTGTGAGCTGTGATGCCATGGCACTCTACCCAGGGGGACAGCTTGAGGCTCTGTCTCCAAAAAAAAAAAAGCCAAGGTGGGAAGATCACTTGAGGCCCAGAGTTCGAGATTGGCCTAGGTAATACAGCAAAACTCTGTTTCTATCAAAAATTTAAAAAATTAGCCAGGCATAGGGGCATGCACCTATAGACCTAGCTTCTGGGGAAGCTGAGGCAGGACAATTGCTTGAGCCCAGGAGATCAGGATTATAGTGTGCTATGATGGCACCTCCCCACTCCATCCTGGGTGACAGAGTAAGACTCTGTCTCAAAAGAAAAAGAACAAAATGCAGGGCTGGACATGGTGGCTCATGCCTGTAATCCTAGAAGGCAGCTGAGGTGGGTGGATTGCTTAAGCGCAGGAGTTTGAGACCAGCCTGAGCAAAATCAAGACTCCATCTCTAAAACTAGCTGGATATTGTGGTCGGTGCCTGTAGTCCCAGCTACTTGGGAGGCTGAGGCAGGAGGATTCCTTGAGCCCAAGAGTTTGAGAATGGTGTGAGCTATGATACTCCATGGCACTCTATAAAGGGTGAAAGAGTGAGACTCTGCCTCAAACAAAAAAGAACAAAATGCAAACAACAGAAATGTCTGACATTAAATTGAGGAAAAAACGCTCATATTCACATAATGGTATTCTAAAGCCATTAGCAATTATAGAAATATATCTGATAAGAAATGATTATCAGGCTTGGTGCCTGTAGCTCAAGTGGCTAAGGCGCCAGCCACATACACCTGAGGTGGCGGGTTGAATTCAGTCCGGGCCACCAAACAACAATGAGGGCTGCAACCAAAAAATAGCTGGGTGTTGTGGCGGGCGCCTGTAGTCCCAGCTACTTGGGAGGCAGAGGCAGGAGACTTGCTTGAGCCCAGGAGTTGGAGGTTGCTGTGAGCTGTGATGCCA